GTACTTTCCTGTCCAGGTTGGCTTTGAACCGTGATCCTCAGATCTCAGCCTCTTAAATAGCTAGGATTACAGTTCCCAATTCTAGACAATATTCCTTACATTTATGTCTCATTACCATTACTACTATCACTTTAAGTCTATACTCCAAAAAATAAGTGAAAATATATGATGATTGTTTTGGGGGGCTTGGCTAATCTCACTCTACATGTTGATCTCCAGATCCATTCATTTTCCTGAAAATGCCTTTTTTGTTGTTGTTGTTGGTCATGGGGCTTGAACTCAGGGCCTGGGTGCTGTTCCTGAACTCTTTTGCTAAAGGCTAGTGCTCTACCACTCTGAGCAACAGTGCCACTTCTGGTTTTCTAGTGGTTAACTGGAGAGGACTTTCCTGTCTGAGCTGGCTTTGAACCTTGATCCTCAGATCTCAGCCTCCAGAGTAGCTAGGATTAAAGAGGTGAACCATCAGTGTCCAGCAGACATTTCCTTTTTTTCCTCTGGCAAATATTCATGTATGTATATATCTAAAAACACTTCATTTGACTGTTCTAATACACACACATATATACAAAACATACATTTTCTTTGTTGACTTGTTGGTTGTTTTGGGCACCTTGACTGATCCTAGAGTTTGGCCATTGTGAACAGAGCTGCAATACACCTGGGTATGTAACTGTCTTTCTTGTATATTAATTGTGCTGCCTTAGGATATATGACCAAGATTAGAATGTTTAACACAGATCTGTTTTTGCTTTTTTGAGGAACTTCCATACTGATTTCCACAGTGGTTGCAGTATTTTACTGATTTCCATAGTGTTTCACTAGTTTATATCCTTTACATCCCTACCAACAACAGTATCTGAGTTACCCCCTTCATACTCCCCCATCATAATCAGTATTTGTTCTTGTTGAACTCAGCATCTGGGCACTGTCCTTGAGCCTTTTTGTGCTCAAGGCTAATGTTCTGCCACTTGAGCCACAGTGCTAAGACAGAATCTTAGTACCATTTTTATTTGCATTTCCTTGATGGCTAAGGATGTGAATGAACATTTTTCATGTGTTTATTAGCCATTTGTATTTCCTCTAAGAACTGTTCAACTTGTTTGCCCATTTGTTCTTTTTTTTTTTTTTGGGTCCGGTCGTGGGGCCTGAACTCTGGGCCTGGGTGCTGTCCCTCAGTTCTTCAGCTCAAGGCTAGCATTCTACCACTTGAGCCACAGCGCCACTTCCAGCTTTTTTTTCTGCTTATGTGGTGCTGAGGAATAGAACCCAGGGCCTCATGCATGCAAGGCAAGCGCTCTACCACTGAGCCACCGTCCCAGCCCCTGCCTATTTGTTCTTTATATATTCTAGATATTAATCCTTTATAGCTTGTTGCTAAAGATTTTCTTTCATTCCATGGGTTGTTTCTTGATTCTAGTAATTGTTTTCTTTGATGCTCAGAAACTTTAAATTTGATGCCATCACATTTGCCAATTTTTGCTCTTATCTGCTATGCTATTGTAGTCTTATTTAGAAAATAATTACCTATGTCTATGTCTCTTAGAATTTTCCCTAGGTTTTCCTGTAGTAGTTTTACTTTTTCTTTGACCACTTGGAACTGATTTTTATACAGGGTGATGAATAGGAGCCTTGTCTTTTTCACAGGGATACCAGTTATCCTAGCTCCATCTGTTGAAGAGGCTGTCTTCTTCCAGTATGTTTTTTTGGCTATTTTGCCAAAAAATCAGACGGCGTATTTGTGTGGCTTTATTTCTGGATCTTCTGTTCCATTGATCTTTATGTCTGTTTTTGTCACTATAGTTCTATATATAATTTGTAGTCTGGTATTATGATACCTCTAATTTTGGCTTAGGATTACTTCTGCTATTTTGAGTTTCTCATGCTTTCATATGAACTTTAGGGTTGATTTTTCTATTGCTACAAAGAATAACATTGAGATTTTGTGGGCACTACATTAAATCTCTAGGTTGCTTTCAGTAGTATGACCAAAGGAGGGGCAAATAGGATTAGATTGTTCAGTTCTGGGGACTCATGGCAGTAATGCTGCTTACTTAGAAGGATGAAATCTGAGGATCAAGTCTGAAGTTAGCCTGGGCAGACAAGTCCAGAGACATTATTTCCAAGGAACACAATAAGATTAGTTTCAAAAGTCTGTCCCTTAGCTCTATGTGTTGACTGTTGGGTGGATCAGAGCCTTGTACCTAGTCACTCTAAATTATGTGATACACATAACTGCTGCTTGCACCCACAGAGAGGAAACACACACACGTATACACACACATACACGAGTAACAGAAAACTAACACACTGGTGTTTTTTGTTTTGTTGGTCATGGGGCTTGAACTCTGGGCCTGGGCACTGTCCCTCAGCTCTTCAGCCCAAGGTGAGCACTCTACCACTTGAGCCACAGCACCACTTCCAGTTTTCTGGTGTTTAATTAAAGATTGAATAGTGATCCTCAGATCTCAGCCTCTTGAACAGCTAGGATTCCAGGTGTGAGCCACCATGCCTGGCTTACTTTTATATGAGTTCATTTGTCTTCATTGCGCGTGTGTGCGTGCGTGTGTGTGTGTGTGTGTGTGTGTGTGTGTGTGTGTGTGTGTGTACTGAGGCTTGAACTGCCTCCAGTCCAGGATTTTACTGGTTAATGGAAAATAAGTCTCATGAACTTTTCTGCCCAAGCTGGCTTTGAATCTGTCTGTAGATCTCAACTCGCTCGGTCGAAGAGGATGACCATCCCCGATAGAGGAGGACCGGTCTTCGGTCAAGGGTATACGAGTAGCTGCGCTCCCCTGCTAGAACCTCCAAACAAGCTCTCAACTAACTGTGTAGCAATCTCTTTCTCAAAACAACTTTAACTTGATCTTTTCTACCTATCTCACTTCCGTGTTTCATTAACTGCTTCTATTGAGTTTAGCTAATGCCACCCTTTTCTTCCCTATATAACCACATCCTTTGTATTATTCATTAGTGCTATCCTTCTATCTCCTTGCTAATATAAGCATGGTTAACAAAGGTCTTCCTAGATCATGACGATACATCTTTGCTTCCACATTCAACTAAAGATATTAGAGCAAGAATAAGGACTAGTAGTCATTAAAGAATGTCAAAACACAAGGGTAGCTGGGCGCCAGTGGCTCATGCTTGTAATCCTAGCTACTCGGGAGGCTGAGATCTGACGATCACTGTTCAATGCCAACCCAGGCAGGTATGTCCATGAGACTCTTATCTCCAATTAACAACCAGAAAACTGGAAGTGACGATGTGGCTCAAAGTGGTAAAGCACAAGTTTTGAGTGCAAAAGCTCAAGGAGCTCCCAGACCCTGAGTTCAAGCTCCAAGACTGACAAAAAGAAACAAGAACAACAATTACCCCACAAGGTTGTTTTTTATTGATTACAATAGCTTTTATAGCCAAGCTTCCTCACCATGAGCGTAGAATAGGTCTTTACAAAGCATATTAAGCACTGAATATTGGCTATTGAACCATACCCATTCAATCTACTAATAAGAAAATGTAGCACAATCTAGCCACTTCCCAGTCTTAAATAACTTTTTTTTTGTCAGTCATGAGGCTTGGACTCTGAGCCTGGGTGCTGTCCCTGAATTCTTCAGGCTCAAGCTGAGCACTCTGCCACTTGAACCACAGCACCACTTCTGGTTTTTTGGTGGTTAACTGCAGACTTTCCTGCCCAGGCTGGCGTTGAACCACGATCCTGTGATCTCAGCCTCCTGAGTAGCTAGGATTACAGGTGTGTGAACCACTGTCACCTGGTATAACTTAATTAAAAAACAAAATCAACTAAAATCAAAAGACTGGACAAAACTCAATATCCCTCATGACAAAAGCCCTAAAGAAACTAAGAACAGAAGGAACATATCTCAGCACAGAAAGGCTATATGGGGGCTGGGAAGGTGGCTAAGTGGTAGAGTGCTTGCCTTGCATTCATGAGGCCTTGGGTTCTATTCCTAAGCACCACATAAGCAGAAAAAAGCTGGAAGTGGCACTGTGGCTCAAGTGGTAGGGTGCTACCTTGATCTGAAGAGCTGAGGGACAGCACCCAGGCCCAGAGTTCAGCTTCCACAACCAACAAAAAAAAAAAAAAAAGGAGAAAAGAAAGGCTATATGGAATGAGTCTGTATACAGCTGAGTAAAAAAAAAGTGAAAGCATTTCCTCTAAAATAGATTATCCACTCTTCCCACTCTTAATATAGTGCTTGGATTCTTAGTTAGAGTAATAGGTAAGAAAAAGATGATACAAATAGGAAAAAGGGATACAAATAGGAAAGGAAGAAGTCAAATTAATCCTATTTGCAGAAGACATGGTCCTGTGCATAAATGACCACAGATGCCATCAGGAAATTCTAATGAACAGTTTCATTAAAGTATCAGGATACAAAACCAACATCCAGAAATCAGTAGCTTTTGGTACACCAACAATGAACTTGCTGGAAAAAAAGCTAGGAAAACAATCTCATTGACAACAGCCTCAAAAAAGCCAGGCATAAACCAAAGCCAGGAGTTGGGGGGAGGGGGTATGTGGGGGTGTGTGTGGGGAGTGAAAGACCTCTAGAATGAAAATAAAACACTGAAGAAGGGGAATGAAAGACCTCTAGAATAAAAATGATAAAGCCAGGCGCCAGTGGCTCATGCCTATAATCCTAGCTACTAAGGAGGTTGACATCTGAGGATCACAGTTCAAAGCCAGCCTGGGCAGGCAAGTCTGTGAGATTCTTATCTCCAATTAACCACCAGAAAACTGGAAGTGATGCTGTGGCTCAAGTGGTAAAGTGCTAGCCTTGAACTGAAGAGCTCAGGGACAACGCCCAGGCCAGAGTTCAAGCCCCATGACCAACAGAAAGGACCAGCACAAAACAATGTATGATAAAGAAGCGTATATTGTAAAAATTTATTATTTAAGTCTATTCAACAAAATGATTCACCTGTTTAGCAACTCTGAAATGTTTTCCAGGAACAGAAGGAAATGAAGTTTCAATCTTCTGTATTAGGTACTTACTCTTTAAGGCTATCCGACCGCCTCCTGTTTCTTCCCCATGAAGAACTTCTACTTCTAGTTCTCCTTTGGCTGGGGCTTCTTGATCTCCTATGATCAGTTGGAGAACAAGGGTGACGTTCTTTTGATTTCATTTGGCCTGGTGCTAGAATATGAAAAAAAAAAAACATACCACAATTCATTATCTGAAAACCATAATTACAACCATTTAACTTTATAATATGCCTAGTTAAAAAAAAACTGTCATTGCTCTATCATTCTGGTGAATAAAGAAGATCTAATGTTTAGTCACACTTACTTTTGCGATCACCTTGTGCAAACTGTATTTCAATTTGACGGCCACATACCCACTTCCTATTGAGATTATATAGAGCATCTTCAGCATCTCGAACATCTTCAAATATGACTAGCTGTTAAGGACACTTTGAATATGAATATCAGATAACAAAGTATTTTTAAGGTATTAGTTACATGTAAAATGCAATTAATAGAAAAAAACAAGTTCTTGTTATTAAGCTAACAGAATAAAATTGTTAACTTTTACTTCAAAAAGAAATGTCCTATTATGAAATAAAAGATGTAACACAAAATTGGATTTTTAATATATACATAGTAAAACTAATATGTATATATAATATAAAATACGAGAAAAAATCATCCAAAATTGGCTACCATTATAAAAACTGTTGAGGACTCATTCACTTCTTTCAGATAAAGGATCCACTAGGGTTTTCATTGAAATTATCAGCATGCAGAACAAGCCTTTATTCTGAAATTAAAATTACTTTCATTAAAGGATTTTCTAAGTATGGCATTTATAACACTTAGAAACAAAATTGTACAAATATAAAGTTAGCTAATACAAAAACTGATTTGGTACTTTAAATACTTTATCTACTTTTGCACCTACCATTTTAAACAACTCCTTGTGTTTAGTACTTGGGACAGAAGTATAGAAAAAACATAAAACAATTTTCAAACATTTGGAATTACATATACTGGTTGGAAATATACAGCTAAACTCCCCAAGTATATAAATTATATAATATTAAACCTAACTAGATATTAGCTATATAAAATTATTAAATAGATGTATTTAAGGAGGTTGTTTACTAGATTTTTTTCTAAATAGCAAATAAGAAAAGCTCAAGAAATGCAATATAAAATGAGACTGGCAATTACCTCAATGTCACTTGATCTTGAACCTTGACCTTTACTCTTTAAGACTTGCAAGATGGACTTTATTAGAGATGAAGAACCAAAAAAATCAGACTTGGCTTTGATTCTGGAACTCTGAGTAAATGTAGGAAAGCCGAAGTCTCAAAGTTGGCTTTGTCTTTTGCTTGATAAAGACTTCCCCTCTTCCAGGTCTTTATATCTGTGTCCACCCTCCCTTTTTACTCCTTGATGCTTGAACTTTAGGTGCCTTTTGTCTTGCCTGCTTGGTTTATGCTTGGATTCTAGCTAACAGGTTGGTTCAAACTGGGGGCGCTTGCCAGCTACTGTGGACTGCTTTAGATTTTCTGAGATAAAGAAATAAACACATTTAATTAGGCAATGTTAATCTCATATGCTCCTAAATATGCATATGTTTAAACACACACATAATATATAGTATATTCACATTCACACAATAAAATAAAGGATATTGAACATAAGCAAATCCTCTTGGGCGGCGAGTGTAGAAGTCAAGTGGAATGTAAACGTCTACTATAGGGCCATAGCGACCAAACTCACGGCGCAAGTCCTCAGGCCTGAAGTGTTTTAGAAATAAGGCAAAGAAATATGAATAGCTGTATTAAAATATTTTGCCTACAGAAATCCAGTTGAAACTTTCAAAAGAAAGTGCATTGTCTAGACCAGAATTATTTGAAACTGTTTCTTGTAACAATTACCCAATATTTTGAGAGGAAGATAAAAAGAAGGAAACACCAACAACAGATCTTCAATCCACTCTCTTAAGAGCCCTTCATTCAGAAAGTCTGGATTAGGGACTTGGAATTAGTATTTTTACAAACATTCTAGGTGCTTGTTAAACTTAGTCAATTTCAATAAACACTGGCAGGGCTGGGGCATAGCTCAACTTGTAGACTATTTGCCTACCAAGTTCAAGGTCCTGGATTCAAATACTAGTACCACCAAACAAAACAAAACAAACCTAAGACATCCACCTTTGAAACTTACTCCCATTACAAGACTTATTACAAGTTTATTAAGGGCACATTCATTTACCTCCCTATAATTTTGTGCTTATATAAATTTTGATCCTCCAAACAGAGAACAAAAATTAAGACTCTAGAGTCAGGCGCCGGTGGCTCACATCTGTAATCCTAGTTACTCAGGAAGATCATGGTTCAAAGCCAGCCCGGACAGGAAATTCCGTGAAACTCTTATCTCCAATAAACCACTAGAAAACCGGAAGTGGTACTGTGGCTCAAGTAGTAGAGCGCTCACCTTGAGCTGAAGAGTGCAGGGATAGCGCCCAAGCCAGAGCTCAAGCCCCATGACCGACAATAATAATAATAATAATAATAATAAATAAGAAGAGAAAAAGAAAAAAGAATTATGATTCTAATAATCTTAGTTTTTTTTTTTACTATAAGGCAAAGTAACTACTATATTCTCAAATTTGACAAGAACTTCCAGCCTCCCATTAGCTTTCTACTGTTACAAATATGTAAGAGAATACACTAAGGAAATAGAGTTATTTGTATTGTGGGGCCACAATGCAGTTGAAGAGACAAAGTATTTAGCAATAATAGCTGACAGTTATAGACATTTATGTACTAGTCATTGTTTACCTTAAGACTTTAATTCTCAAAACAATCCTATAGTTATTTACTGGTGAGGTGAAAGATTAATCTTTTCTAATCTCTAATCTTTCTCTGAGCTAGTAAGTCACAGATCTGAAACAAAACATCTACATTCTCACACTAGTCCATGTTATTAGCCACTAAAAGACACTGCTTCAGGAGATCACTGGGATTCAGCATCAAGCTTTGGGCACAAAGCTCAGAAGAAATGAGTAGTTTAAACATCTGTACAGAAAAAAGATTCAAAGTCAGATTTGACTGCAAAGCTTCTAGCTTGGGAAAATGGAAAAAAATATGTCAGTGACAAAAATTAGGTAGATGAGAAGGAAGAACTAGGTTGAAGAGAGAGAAGAATGGCAAAAAAGCAGCTTTCAGATTTAGAAATGCCAAATATAAAGTGATGGCAGAATATTCATAAAAGTTCTGTAAGCAGGGCTGGGAATATAGCTCAGTGGTAGAGAGAGCTTGCCTAGCATGCACAAAGCTCTGGGTTCCATTCCTCAGTACCACATGAACAGAGAAAGCCAGAAGTGGCACTGTTGCTCAAGTGGTAGAACACTAGCAAAAGAAGCTCAGGGACAGTGCCCAGGCCCTGAGTTTAAGCCCCAGGACTGGCGGGGGGAGGGGGGGGGAAGGGGGGACGGCGCGGGAAGCAAATACTAACTTTTTTCTCAAGACTAGGAGACAAATTACCCCTTAAAGCTAGAGATGAGGATTTAGCAGCTATTACATAAAAATTCAAGTAACTCCAAATATCCACAAGATGATAGTGTACTCAACATTACTACAACATTCTTTATTGACTTACTATAACATGTTTGTCTACTTCCTAGATACTTAGCTTTAGAGGTCAGCAACCATGTCTTTTTTCTTTCACTAAAGTCATCCAACAAATAGGTGCCAGGCTCTAGTAGAATAACAACAAAAACAAAAGTTCTTGTTCCTATAGAGGTTGGGTAAAGATTCTCAAGCATTCTTGAATAGTTGAATCATCCCTTACAGAACAGGCACTGTTTTTTGAGACAGATGCTGGCTACATAGCCCTACTGGCCTGGAGTTCACAATCTACCTTCTTCACCAGTCTCCCCAGGGCTACAATTTACAAGTATGCACCACCATACCCAGCTTTGTCCATTTTTAATAACATTTGTCTTTTTATTGTTAAGTTGTTAAAGCTTATATGTTCTGGAAGCAAATCCTTGGTCAGGATACAAATATTTTGTGACTTTTATCTCAATTTGTGGTTTGATATTCTAATTCTGGTAAAGTCTAATGTATCAGTATATTTTTTTCATTTATGTTACATGTTTGACCTATAAGAAATATTTGCCTATGCCCAGATCATAAAGATAATTTTGTATGCTTTCTAGTTTTATGTTTTACATTTTGATCAGTGATCCAGGATGAATTGTAACGAAGGTAACAATGCAGTTGCAGTTTGTTTTTTCCCGTTCAGTAGTTCCAGAGCTATTTGTCCTTTTTCACTGGATTGTTTTGCTGCCTTTGCCAAAAATCAATTAGCTCTACTAAGTGTAGGTTACTTACAGACTCTTGTTCTGTTCTCCTGACCTATTTTTCTACCTGTAGGCCAATAATATGACATTGTCATGGTTACTGAATCTTTTAAAGGCTAGAAGTCAGATAATTTAAGTCCTTCAGCTTCAGTGTCCTCTTTTCCAAATTATTTTGGCTCTTACAAATTCTTGGCATGTCAATTTCCATTTAAAAAAACTTTAATCAGCATTTCCTTGATCATAAGTCAACTGGAAGAGAACTAATAATTTTCCAATATATGAATATACGTACCAATTTATCAAGAGCTTTTAAAATTTCTTTTTGCAGTATGTCATAATTTTCAAGGCAAATGATTTTTTTGAGCATGTCAGTGCTAGGGTTTGAACTCAGGCTTTTGTCTGGCTCAAGGCTGGCACTCTACCACTTGAGTAAACCTTCTATTCCAGTTTTTTTCTGGTTAATTTGAGATAAGAGTCTCACAGATTTGTCTGCCTAGACTACATGCATAAGCCCAGATATTGCAAAGGATTTTCAGCTTTTATTTAAGTTTATTTGTTTATTTGCCAGTCCTGGAGCACTCAGGGCCTGGGCACTGTTCCTGATCTTCTTTGCTCAAGGCTAGCACTCTACCACTTGAGCCACAGCACCGCTTCCGGCTTTTTCTGTCTACGTGGTAACTGCCTAGCATGCTTCATGCATGCTAGGCAAGGACTCTACCACATTCCAGCCCTATGTTCACTTATTTTTGTTAATACCTAGAAATAAAAGTTTTAAAATTTTATCTTTTAGTCATATAACTTCTTACGCTCTTATAAGTTTTGTTGTTAATTCTGTGATGTTTTCTGTGTTAAAACAATAACAGCAAAACATCATGTCATCTAAGAGTTGAAGACTAGTTTTACATCTATTTTTCCAATTTTTATGTCGTTTATTATCTGTTGCACTGGTCAGGACCTACAACAAAATGCTGAATGGAGCTTGTCAGAGTAGGCAACCTTATCTTAAGTTATAAGGTTAGCTTTACATTTTTCATAACCACCTTTCATCAGGCTGAAAAAATTCCATTCTAGTCCTAGTTTGCTGGAAAAAGTTGCTAAATTTTATTTCTTAAAATACAGTCGCCCGTATACTGTAATCAAAGAATGCTGCTGGTGAGGCACTGGTGGCTCATGCCTCTACTCCTAGCTACTCAAAAAGGTTGAGATCTGAGGCTTATGGTTCTGCTGTTCAAAGCTAGCCCAGGCAACAAAGTCCCTGAGACTCCTATCTTCAATTAACCACTGGAAAATGGGAAGTAGAGCTGTGGTTCAAGGTAGTAGAGCACTAGCCCTGAGTGAAAGAGTTCAAGGATAGTGCCCAGTCTCTGAATTCAAGCCCTATGACCAACCAAGAAAAAAAAAAACAAAACGGTGAAAACAGGAAAAAAAAAATCAGCTAAGTTCTACCATCCACTGGATTTTTTTCCAGTCTCATTTTCTATATATGGTTCATCTTTTCCTCTTTCTCATATATCTGAAATCATACTGCATATATAATCTTAAGGGTTTTTGTTTAATATTTTTATCCCAATTATTTTCTTTATAGGTATACCAAGTAGTTTCAAGCTAGCTTAAAATGTGTCAAGATGTCACAATGCTAGTTTTATATAATAGTCATCATTCTTAAAATCACTGTCAAAACCACTTACCAGCTAACACATGTGTAGATAAAATATGTGAATCTCTCTATTTTAAGCCTCAAGATTTTTGTCTGTATACAGAGTCAATGAGAACATACAGGCTAATGTGAAAACTAATAATATATGTAAAATTCTGAGTACAGCACTTGTCACCTAGTGGATATTTAACAAATGTTAGCAATGATTATTCCATTAATACAATGTGATCTCCAAAATATACCCTCTGCAGTGGCAGTGCTAAAAAGTGGTGAAAACAGAAAATCTCCATTATCAGCCTCAATACTTAGTAGTGGACTAAGTAGATCTCAGGCTAGTTGTAACATGCAGATATGTGTTATTATTTAGGATGTCTTTTTTTGTGTGTGGCACTAAGATTGAACCCTTGAGCTACATACATGCTAGGCAAGGACTTGACCACTGAGCTACATCTCCAACCCAGACGTGTTTTAAACTGTGTAAAAATAAGAAATGGCCAACATTTATAGCTTCTAAACCACAAACATGGTTATTTCATACTATTCAACTTAATAAGTGCTAAAATATTGTAATTAAGCCTGCCACAAAATACACAGATTTCTTGATGCAGCAACAAGGAATCCAAAGGTCTGCAGGGCAGCAATTAGTCAAAAGAGAGCTCAGTAGTCATTGCTCTTCCCTTAAGATGGCCCTTGTCCTTTGTTATTTGTTATGGCCCACAGCCCTTACAATCTGACAATTTAGCTCATTTATGCTGGCTCCAGCAGCAATT